AGGAGCAGCGGAGCCCAGCGCACAGCGAGGAGCCGCAGCCGCGGCCAGGCAAACGAACCCACGGGGGCACTAGGGTTTAGGGTTTAGGGTTTAGGGTTTACCTCGGCCTGCGTCTGGCGCTGCAGCAAATACTTGAGGGCACTTTTTATGCCTGCACAAGACAGCAGCAATTTGTCCCGCGACTGCTGCAGCTGCTGCTGCTGCAGCGCGAGGCCCCGCAAGAAGCGCAGCGAGCAGCAAAGAGGGTCCAGCACGCTCTCCAGCCTGCACGCGCAAACCCTAAACCCTAAACCCTAAACCCTAAACCCTAAACCCTAGGTGGCCAGCTTTGTGGAGAGGCCCCCACACTGGTAAACCCTAGTGGGAAGCGGTAGGGTTTTCTGTTTGAATGCGGAGTCTCCTTTCAGGTCTACGGTCTAGGGTTTAGGGTATAGGGCCTAGGGTTTAGGGTTTAGGGTTTCGTTGAGTTACTCCTTGAGAGGCTTGTGGAGGTGCTCCTGCTGCTGCGCATCTCTTTCTTGAAAAAACAGAAATGCCAAAGAGTAATAATCGCTCTGCGTGGACAGCAGCAAACGAGGTGTACGTACACCTCGAGTTGCGGATACACCTGAAGGCCCCACACGCCCTGAGGTGTCTGTACACCTGAAAAGACACAAAAGAAACTTTTCGCCCGCTTTGAGACTCACTTGCTGCTGGAGGTCTTCTGCTGCTGCTGCAGAGGCAGTTTCATCGTGCTGCTCTGGCTGCTGCTGCCGCTGCTCTTGCTGCTGCTGCTGCTGCTGCTGCTTCAGGGGTTTAGTAAGCGGCAGATAGCCCTGTAGGCCTCCTGCACCCCCCCACAGCTCCTCGAGGAGTTCATCTGGGCCAGTGGAGTGCTGCTGCGGTTGCTGCTGCTGCTGCTGCAGTTGCTGCTGCTGCTGCTGCTGTTGCTGGCGCATGTTGCGGTGCCGCAGCGCGGCGCAGGGCCGTAGTTGCTGTTCCTCCAGCAGCTAAAAGGAAAGCAGCAGCTGCAGCAGCAGCGACCTTAGGGACGTATATTCCTTTATTTTACCTAACTTGGCGGCTAGGAGAGTTTTATTGGAGTTTGGGAATTAAAATGATAGAAAAGAGCGCGGCGAGGCGGCCCGTCTACTCCCAGGTGTACATACACCTCATTTCGCAGCACGTGCTACTGCGGCCGCCCGGCGTTCCCCGCTGCTCCTCAGAGTCCTCAAAAGCAGCTGAATTGTCTTTGGATAAATTTAATTTTCGAAATAAATGACAAAATTCAATTTAGATTCCAAAAAGGCGAATTCGGAAACGGCAGCTTGCTGTGCTGGGCGCGCCGCCGACGCCATGGCTTCTGTACGCAGCATGCAGCAGCATCCGCGGCCGTTTGTGGCTCTTTTTAATTCTTTTCTTGTTTATATTTGTTGTATTTGATTATTATTAATTTGTTTTTAGAATTAAATCTGTTTTCTCGCGGCATTTCGACCATTGAGCCCGTGGGGGGCCCCCAAAGTTAAGTGGCGCCCGCAGATTGCCTTCGGCTGCTGTTGCAGCGGGGTGTATAGACACCCTATCAAAGTGATGCATCAGTTTTTGGATTAACACATTTCATTTCCATTTGCAGAAGTCCCCCTGCAGCCGCAGATACTTCTTTTTAGTTTGTGACCGGCGTGCCAGCTGCTGCTGCTGCTGCTGCTGCTGGAGCAGCTCTGGAGTTGTTCAGCCTCCCCTCAGGTGCACAGACACCCCATGGCCTCTCCGCAGAGCCCTGAAGATGTTCCTGAGCGACGCTTCGCCTTCCCCAGTCCCCCTTCTGTCTTCCGTTGACTGGGGGGCCCCGGGGCCCCCGGGGACCCCCCCGGGGGCCCCCCCGGGGGCCCCCCCGGGGGCCCCCCCGGGGGCCCCCCCGGGGGGCCCCCCGGGGGCCCCCCCGGGCCCCCCCGCAGGGGGACCCCCGGGGCGCCTGCCGCTGGACACGCAGGGCAGCCACAGCAGCAGCAGCAGCAGCAGCAGCAGCAGGAGGCTGTCGGTTTTGGAAGCAAAAAGGGGTCTTTTGGATGTTGCAGAAGCAATTTCTTTTTTGCATTTTAATGCGCAGCTGCTGCACCTCAACATACACCCCGAAAGCGTGTTTGTTGACAGCAGCGGCCGCTGGCTGCTGGGGGGCCTTTGCTTCGCCAGGGAGCAGCAAAGCGGCAGCAGCAGCAGCAGCAGCAGCAGCAGCAGCGGCAGCGGCTGCGGCAGCAGCAAGGCTGCGGGCTTCGCCTTCAGCTACAGGTGACCTCCAGGGTTTAGGGTTTAGGGTTTAGGGTTTGGAGTCCTTAGAAGTGCGAGGGCGGGACGGCTGCTGAGGGCGCTGCGCCCCAAACCCTAAACCCTAAACCCTAAACCCTCGGTGTGTGCGCTGTATGTACACCGCAGCAGCGGCAGCGTCGGAGTGGCCCTGGCCCCTCCTCTGCGCTATACAGCCCCGGAGCTCGCGGGTTTCTATCCGCCCCGTGCTGCTGCTGCTGCTGCTGCTGCTGCTGATCCTGCTGCTGCTGCTGCTGCTGATGTTTTTTCCTTTTCGCTGCTCGTCGCCGAGTGCTTGGGAGCAGCTAATTTGCCCAACTCCCGAGACGGCGACGTGGAGGCCCACAAGCAGCAGGTCCAAACCCTAAACCCTAAACCCTAAACCCTAAACCCTAACCCCTAAACCCTAAACCCTTAACCCTAGGCACTAATTTGGAGACCCCGGGCTCTTGACGCAGGGCTCCAGCTGCTAAGGGAAAAGACCCGCGGCGTGCACGCGAGTTCATGTGCTGCTGCTCTTGCTGTTGCTGCTGCTGCTGCTGCTGCGGGTGTTGTTGCTGCTGTTGCTGCTGCTGCTGCTGCTGCAGTGCGCCCAGCTGTCTCCTCTGCGCGCTTCATCCTTCCCTCCGGGCTCTCTGTTTCAGGAAGCAGCAGCAGCAGGAGCGGGGGGTCCTGCTGCAGCAGCAGGGCCCGCAGCAGCAGCAGCAGCAGCAGCAGGAGAGCTGCTGGAGCTGCTGTCTCGAGGCCTCAGCAGCAATCCAAAAGAAAGACCCCCCATCTCTGCTTTTTTAAAAAACTCTTTTTTTCTATGTTTGGAGACAAGAGCTCTTCAGTTCTTGAGTTGTCTCCAAGAAAAGGAGCAGCAGCAGCAGCAGCAGTTCCTCGCGGGGCTGCTGCAGCTGCTGCAGCAGCAGCAGCAGCTGCAGCAGCCGCAGATACTCAAGGTCCACGTGCTGCAGCCACTTCTTGCTGCTCTCAAGTACCCGGCGCTGCTGCCGCTGCTGCTGCCAAATATCTTTTTTGCTGCCAAGGCGGTCAGATTCAAATTTATTATTTATTTATTTATTTATTTACTTGTGTTTTTATTTATTCATTTATTTATTTATTTTATTTATTCATTTGTTCGCTTTTATTTCGGTTCTTGTTTTGTCATTGAGGCCATCTGCTGCTTTGCTGAGTGCGTGTTCATCCTCTGCTGCTGCTGCTGCTGCTGCCGCTGCTGCTGCTGCTGCTGCTGCAGCTTGTCTTCTTTTGCCTCTTTTTAATATCTTTTTTGCTGTTTTTCGCCTTAGTCCCGGCCAAAGATATATTTGATAAATAAAGAAATAAATAATTAACTAATTAATCTTTTAAAGGACAAGATGGCTTTTCAAATTTGCAGTTTGCTGCTGCTGCTGCTGCTGCTGCTGCAGCTCAAAGACAAGAAGTACTTTGCTGCTGCCATTTGGCCGCTGCTGCTGCCGCTGCTGACGGCCAAAGAAATTCAAGTCGAAGCTGTAGTGCAGCTTGTGGGTCAAAATAAATAAATAAATAAATAAATAAATAAATAAATAAATAAATTAAATAATTAAATTAAAAAAATAAATAAATAAATAAATCAGATAAATAAATGAATAAACAATTTAATTAATTCATTCGTTCATTTAATTTTATTTGATCAATTAATTAATTGCGTTTGTTGATTGTTGTCTAATGATTCATTCATTTGCTAATCACTTGGATAACTAATTAATTAATTGATTTAATTATTTAAATTGATTAATCAATAAATTAATTATTTTGATTTAAAATGAAGAAATTAATTAATTAGTTTGCCAATTAACTAATTAATTAATTAATTATATCTACATATAATTAATTAACTAATTAATTACTTAAAATATACGATTAATTATATATAGATATAATTAATTAATTAATCAATTAATTATACATAGATATAATTAATTAACTGATCAATTAATCAATTAATTAATTAATTATAGATACAATTAATTAATTAGTTAATTAATTAATTAATTAATTAATTGATTAATTATGTTTTTTATTTATCTTTATTTGGCAGTAGCAGTTTACGAGCTTTTTATGTTTTGCTGCTTCCACTTTGTCATTTTCAATTTTCCATTTTTTAAATTTTAAATTCTAAGTAATTCATTTATTCCCTTGTTTATTTATTTATTATTTATTATTTATTATTTATTATTTATTTATTTATTGTTATTTGTTTATTCATTTATTTATTATTTATTTATTTATTTATTTATTTGCAGTTAAAGGAAATTCCCTTTTTGAGCGAATCTGCATCGGAGGAAACTTTGAACAAAGACCTTCTGCCTTTCTTGCTGAAGTGCCTCGACATTCAGGCAACTAAACCCTAAACCCTAAACCCTAAACCCCAAACCCTAAACTCAAACCCTAGCTTGCAGGGAAGCGGCGAAGTGGGTGTCTCAGAAATGCGGGAGTTCCGGGCTTGAAACGACCGAAGAAGATCCCCACAAACCTAGGGTTTAGGGTTTAGGGTTTAGGGTTTAGGGTTTAGGGTTTGCGTTGCTGCAGGCCCCTGAAATTCAAAAAGCAGCAGTTTCCACTTTGAGGGTTTGCTTTGCTTCATTTGGCTACTCTGTGCACCGCACGCTCTTCCTGCCGCGCATGCTTTCTCTTATTGCTAGTGCAGGTAGGGTTTAGGGTTTAGGGTTTAGGGTTTAGGGTTTAGGGACAGGCAGTCGAGTAGCGAGGGTTTGGGATGCATTTGCTCTCCCCACGGGCTCGTCCCGATTAGGGGTTTAGGGTTTGGGGCTTTGCCTGTCTGTGCCTCAACACTGAGGGTCTAGGGTCTAGGGTTTAGGGTTTAGGGTTTAGGGTTTAGGGTTTGCGTGGCAGAGTCGCTTGAAGTGCGCGTGGTTTGCCTGGAATGTTTGGGGGCCATGGCCACGGCCTTCGATAGGTCTGTTGTAGAGCGGCAAATTTTGCCAGTGCTGCTTCAGGTACGAGGGTTTAGGGTTTAGGGTTTAGGGTTTAGGGTTTAGGGTTTAGGGTTTAGGGTTTAGGGTTTAGGGTTTAGGGTTTGGGGTTCGGGGAGTTCAGTGGTGTTTGCGCATCTCGTGGTTCTTTCATATTCGGCTCCTCTGGTTTCAACTTAAGCTTGAAAGTGTGGGGTTTAGGGTTTAGGGTTTAGGGTCTAGGGTTTAGGGTTTAGGGTTTAGGGTTCAGCACTGAGGC